GTATTCTGAAATTTTCTTCCATTCTTAGGACATCAATTACTTTTGAAACAATAAATAAAACTTAATCACTGGTGTTTATAAGTTAATTTTCTTCTCACAAACCAATACTCAGACCTACTACTTTATTCCATTGGCACCGGTGAAGATAACATACTTTCCCAGTAAGGTAATGAAACACTTTTAATGAAATAACCACTCTTGAGGAACATATTTACAAAATTACAATTTAAAATTGGTTCTGCTAAAATGTCAAAGTTAGACTTTACTCCCGTTTATAGATGTAAGGACAGCAACATTGTTTCCCAAATTTTTTATATGAATAAGGCCTAAAACTTTTCCCACTTCATCCTACATGCATATAGTTTGGGGTTGCTTACTGGGTCTATCAACTATCTCTCTTGCCTACTTCCAACCTCTCAAACTTGACATCAATTTGGAAGGGTGATTTTGATACTTATATGTTATGGCTTGTATCAAGATGTTCCCCCAGCTGGGGATTAAACTCAGTGGTTCCACCACCTGCTTCACAAGTGCAAAGTCCTGAGTTTGATGCTCGTCACCAAAAAAAGAAAAGAAAAAAAAATTTGGGCCAGGGATTTAGCTCAGTGGTTGCGGCACCTGATTCGCAAGCTCAAGGATCTGAGTTCGCTTCCTGGTACCAAAAAAAAAAAAAAAAACATGTTCCCCCAAAGCATTCATAGGTGAGCCTTTCTGAGGTGGTTGGATCTAGAATGCATGATACTTGGATTAAGGATGTGTGATTGCTAAGTGGGTTTAGCTGAGTTTTGCGTAGAGATGACGGAAGTCCCACCTGGGTATGGGTGCAACCAATCAATAGGCCTATTGCCTGGATGGAATATAAAGGGAGAGAGAAAAGACAGGCTTGCTGCTTCCTTCCTGCCTGCCATACCATGTACTGTTTTTCCTGTGCAAATCCCCTCTGCATATTGCCCAGCCAGTCATCAAGGGACTGAAACCTCTATAAACTGTGAGCTGAAATAAACCTTTCCTCTAACTTTGGGTAGTGGGTATTTTGTTTCAACAATGAGCAATAAGTGACTGAGATATTACAGAATCTGACTGATATAGACGCACAGCACCAATGACAGAATGAAAGACAACTCACTACGGTTGGCCATGGCTCCATAATCTCAAGAAATCCTTTATTTCATTGCATGGTTCCATTGCTCTGAATATTTATATGCCACTGAAAGGCAATTCATGTAATTATGTTCTCAGTGTAGATTACTTCATCATTTCAGACCACATACTGGTCGAAATTTGAGAGTCTTAGAACCATTCAATGATAGCTTACTTGGAGTGACAGCCAATATCCATACAATAGTGTGTAAAAGTCCAAATGACCTGGGGCCATTTCTCTCCACATCTCAGCTTTTCATACTTGTGCCTTTCCTTAACCTACTGTAGCTGCAATGGACTACTTACTTTTCTTCAAATCATCAGAAGTGTTTTCTTGCATCTCACAGTTTCTGCTTTTCCCTCTACCTGAGAATTCATATCTCAGATACTTGAATGGGTACTTCTTTAATTCGTTCAGGCCCTTGATGAAATATCAATTCCATAATGAGTCTATCATGTCATTTAAATTAGATCAGCTGTTGCACCCATCCCTGCTTGTCTTTCTCTACTTTATTTCTCGCCAAGGCACTATTACCTCCCAAAGCTATGTATAAATTTTATCTGTATTCTTCTTTATTTTGATTTATCTGTCTCAATTAAAATAAAGGCCCCTTGCAAGCAGGGATTTTTCTGTTGGTTTAACTCTCTGTATCCATAACATCTGGTATGGTTAGGCAACATATTTAACATTTAATACATAATTTCAGAACTAATGGAAACAGTCACAAATTAGGTAAAAATTATTATCTCAGCTTTCCACATAAAGTGGCTGAAAATTAAAATGAGCATGTAATTGACTCAATATTAGTTGGGTTTAGCAGTTAGTGAGTCAACTATTTTGGCCTGCCAAAACTGGTGTTCTTTCTTCCTTACTACATTTCCTTCCTAAATTCATGAATTCCACCTACAGCATGAACAACAGAAGACAGAATTTTGTTTGTAATTGGGACATATGGTTTTCAAAGAGTTTAATTTTAGTTATCATTTTAACAAAAGAAGTTTCTCAATCATACATTCTATAATAATAATATACCTGTTCTTGTTTTTGAAACATAAACATTATAGTACTCCAGGTAATTATCAAAATAACAATGCAAGAATTATACTGCAGGTATATTTGATATTTCCTTATTTTAATTGTGGCAATTGTTACATCCTAGATTTGCGTTCTTTGTTTAATGACTAGTAATGACTTTCATGGTCATTTCCACATAAAATTAGGCAATCAAAGTTAATTGTACGACTCAGTATAGCCTCTCTTAAGTTCCTTTGCTGTTTCTTCCATTTAGCTGATGTATAACCTAATGATTGAACAGGAATAAGTATCCAAATTTAAATAAATATGTGTGCATATTTGTACTGTTAACAGATATAACTAGGATCAATCTCATATTTTAATACAAAAAAATATAGTTACATCCTTAACGAAAAATTTAAAGACACAAAAAGCCAGGCATGGTGGTGCATTCCTGTAATCCCAGCACTCAGGAGGCAGAGGCAAGGGGATCGCTGTGAGTTTGAGAACAGCCTGGCTACATAGTGAGATGCTGTCTCAAAAAAAAAAAAAAATTGAAAGACTTTGTCACTATATATGTAATTTTTAATTACAATTGTTACTTTATGTCAGAGCAACAAAACTTCATTGGCTACTCCAAAATATCTCATAAAGCACTTCCTTTTATTTCTCTTCCAAAAAAGCTTGGGCTCAAATATTTGATGTCTCAGGACGCCTTCACTAAATGTGTCAGAATTAAAAGAAATACAAAGAGCTCTGATGACCTTGCTGATTCCCAGAATGTGCAACGTGTAACATGAATGTCACCCCCACTCTCAGTCACTACCTGTGATGTTAATGAATCAGACACTTTATGAACTATTATACTGTTCCTTATTACATGTTAGTAAAATTAACAGAAATCATCTTTTTCTCATCCATTGCTTTGTAAGGAAAAACAATTTTCTTTATCAGGTGTAGATATTTAATCGCTGGATTCTGTCCCCCACTCTCCGCTTGCAGTTTTAAATCTTTCTCTTTAGCAGTATTTACCTCAACAGTGAGACTTTAAAAGCCAGCAAAAATAAATACATTCACATAAATAAACAGTGGGGATGAACTCTTTAATTAGTAAAATCAAATTTGTCTCCATCCATTCTAATCTGTCATCAAAAAATTTTGTAGGCTATTCAGAAGTCAGCTCTTTTGAAAATCCTCAACACAGATAAGAATTAAAAGCAAAATATGTAACAAAAAAAAGCCTCTCATGTTTTTTATACACTAGCATATCATCATTTCCTTTCTCAGGCTCATAAACACACCTAACAAAGTGACAGTCTCTGAAGTGTTTCATTTTCTTACTCATCTTTACTTAAAATGAGATAGTTTCTATTGCTCAATTTTTTTTTTTCCAGAGGTTCCTAGATATCAGCGGCTTTGTTTTCTCAGTCTCCAACAAACTAAAAATGTATATGGGTAACAATCCAGTTCGTCTTACGTGTTCTTATTACTTTATATCCCATTATACTATATGCTTTGTCACCAGGCAAAATTGTGTCAGTAAAAATAGTTACAATTAGTTATATAATGTAATTTAGCTTCAGTCTATGAATTGTGGGAAATACTATCACTGGTGGATCTCCTTTTCTCTTTTGTATTCATGAAAATAGATTTGGACTAGATATTCAGAGGTATAGTTGTATAATCCGCTATGAAGATGGTATGGCAAAATAATGAGCACAAAAGGGAGGCTTTTCTGACTGCATTTAATTGGTGTCTAAACAATCTTGCAGTACTTTAATTGCATGAAAATGCTGATTATATTTCGCAAAGAAGAAAGAATTTCATTTATGTTTTTGTTGCAACTTTTCCACTGCACAAATTAAAGGCTTGTCAACGTACAGGATAGAAATACTTCTATTCAGAACTTGAGAAAATTGCTCCTGGGAAATTCTTACTGTCTCTACAGAACAGAAATTCTACTGGAAGAAAAAAATAGTAAAATATCACTGGGCATTTGCTATGTTTATGCTTTTACCAATTCACTCCACCTACTACAAATCCCAAGGAAGAATTTTGCTCGTCCTGGATTTATTCCTCTTGGCTCCTCACTTAAATAACCATCAATTAACTGGTTCAATGTAAAGAAGCATAAACACAAGCACAGTACCCAGTGGGATTTACTGAAAACATCAACACTTGTCTGAAATACCAAATTAGGAATAGAGAAAGGAATGAAATGTAGTGCATTTGTTTCTTTAATTAAGAGCAGGGATTATCTTCGCTCCTTGTATTTCCTAGATCCCAAAAGTTTAAAACAATTCTGCATTTTGAGAAACTGTCAAAATAAACAAAAACGTTCTTAAGATACAATGTTCTTTCACATACTTTTAAATACATATGGAAGCATTTATTATGCACTATTTTTACAATTACTTTTAATAATAAAACTTAATTCTGAAGTTAATTGCATACAAAAAACTTACCTTGGGTACATAAAAAATCGACTTTAATATACTAGTGACTGTTAGAATCACTCTTTTAGAAGTTTTGTGCAATAAGAATTAACCTTGAAAATGAAAACCATGCCCCAATCCTAGACCTAACAGTTGAAGTTGACTAGAAATTAAGATGCAACAAATTATTTCAAGATTACTGAAAAAGGACAGCAAATCACTATTAATTTTCTATGCTTGAACCCCTTAAAATATCTACATCTATCACACAAAGGTAAGTCACACAAATGTAAATATAGTTACTTGTCTAGCTGAATACTCTGGCTTACATGTTTCTAAATCACATGACTGTGCCTACATTATTATTAAGTAAAATATATTGTTATTTTAAAGAAAAAAATTATACTTACTGCCCTCTAGAGGTGTGGACCAGTAGTGTAATAAGTGTAGAGGTGGCAGGGCATATACAGTTTAAAGCTAACATGGCGTATTTAAACTCTTCTTCACAAACGACATGATCTGTTTAAAACAAAATAGATCAGTTAGGATAATTTGCCTTGGGAGATTTTTTTTTGGGGGGGGTACCGGGGATTGAACTCGGGACCTTGAGCTTGCGAGGCCAGCTCAGAAACCACTGAGCTAAACCCCCAGCCCTCATCTTTCTATACTTCGTCTGTATAAGAGGAAGTGTAGCTAGGCTTGGGGTAGAGTCGCGAATATGCATCTGATAAATTACTAAGTCTCCTTTAGTTCCGTTCATTCTACCATAGGAAAAACAGTAACACCGCACTGATTTTCCAAATTCATAACCACACCATATTGAACTTAAAAGGTGTGTGAACAATATTTGCATACAATAAAAATAAGAGCTTTTGTTCTGTGAAAACAACTAAAATATTAATAAACAAAGATTAATGCTAAAATAGATTGAAGTAGAAAGTACGCTGTATATTCAAGATCCGAGGGTATAAGTTCAAAAGACAGTAGCTCAAATAAATGGTAACTAAAATTCAGTGAAGTAAAAACAACAGCGTGTGCCAGAGATGACGGCCCCTGTGGGGGGATGCAGGTCGCACCTACAGGGGATGATGAAACTGAGCCCAGGAATATGATTGTCTTAACGGGGATGAGGGGTCAAGAAGCCAGTTATTTGATTTTCTGCAGAAGTCACTTTTAGAAAAGCGAATAAAGTATTGCGTATTTTAAAAACTAAAGCTTCTTTCTTCAGTAAGCAAATACAACTTGTATTTGAAATCAAGTAGTGTACATTCCAAATTCTAAGAAAATATATTCTTAGGCAGAAAATAGCCTTTTTAGCTAAAGTGAGGAATCGGAGATTGAAGACGTCAGTGAGTCAGATCTGTAAGCTGAACTCAAACACTGTATAATTTAGGAATAAATAAGAAAAGATTGCTTGAAAAACAGTTTGGCAAATGCCCTGTCTATATCAATAATGACCTTAGTCTTGTTTTTATAATTTGATATACGGAGGATCGCATTGTTTTTCTTTTGCCTTTAATTGCCTTATTTTTTACAATTTTTCTTTTCACTTTTCATGGAAAAAATTACATACTATAGTTACATCTGGGAAGTAACTTTCAGAAACACCTAGAGTATTCTAATATATGTCTCCTTCTCCCCCCAGCAATATGTTATAAAATCTTTAAGAAAATTCTCAAAAATATAACACCATGACACTCAATGTCTTTCAGGAAACACAAGCAGATTCTAAATCAAAAATTGAAATTGAAGAAATATACTTAATATATACCAAAGAACAGTGTATTTAAACCACGGCTTTAATATTTCTCCAAATAATTTTTGAGTGTGAATGCCTAATCTCTGAATATCATGTAAGAAACTGCTAAATGCAGACTGTTGTTACTTTAGACTCATATGACAGCATCACGAGACCCATAAGTTTGACCCAAAAATCAGAACATAGTAAGGGTGACGTCTCACATAAAATACACCTTACACTATTTTAGAGTAACGCACACAGAAATAAAAACGTTTTACTTGGAATTTTGTGACTTATTAATATAAATTTAAGACATTTGATTACTATTTACTACCAGTGTAAACACCAATTTCTGGCACAGTTGTTGGTACAAGTATCTCTCTCTTCCATCCTGTCATCTGGGTCTTCATACTTGAGAATTTCCATATTGAACAACATGCTTCTTTATTGTTATTTCCCTTTTCTTTATGATTTATATTATAGTTGGGATATTATTTATTTTAGGAACTGTATAGGCATATTTACTGAATTTCATTCCAAAAAAGTAAGAAAGTGTTGCAAAAATATTTATTGGAAAAAGGATGTAATGCACAAGAAAGAAGGAAAATTACTGTCTCATAAATGAGTTAGGTATATAACTATTACAAAGTTCCTTGTTAAACAAAAAATAAAGTCAGTACTCTTCATTTTTCATTTAAAAAATCTGCTTAATCTTTATGGATAGCAGACACAGGAAAAGGGTGATGACAGACTATGCAGATGGATAATAGCCTTCATTAGCATACATTACAGAAAGCTGTAACTCAATCTGCAAAATGGAATTGATTATGTCTCTAGATCTCTCCTTTCAGGTCTAAATACATCCTTCCTCCTGGGGCAATTTTTAATACTAACCACCAACCTCTAAGCTGAATTTTAAAAACTGAAAAAATTTTTAAAAACTGAAAATTTTAGAAACTGAAAAAATGAATTTTAAAAGCTTGGTGTTTGAGTAGTTTTGCAGCATGCCCAAGACCCTGGGTTTGACACCCAGCATCACAAAAATAAGTAAATAAATACATCTTTAAATGTGACTTTACCCCTCATTTCCCAATGTCACATGGCAGCCAGAGTTTACTGATTATACCGTTCAAGTTTTCTAACCCATCCACTTCCATTCTTATTACAGGTTTCTAAACTTCAGCCATATTTTCTAGGATCAGATATCAGATTTCACAATAAAAATATTACTTCAATATTAGAAAGATAATACTTCATCTACCAGACACTGTAAAATACATTCAGTAAATAACCAGTTAGGACACTATTATTGTTAGATGAAGAATTTTTTAATTGAAAAAATTAAAATGAAATACTTTCACGAGTGCAGACACTGCCATTAAATTATTTCAAGTTAGTTTATATTTTACCATCAACAAGAGTACAAAGGTATTTCATTTTTCAGAGTTTGCTGGATTTGGGAAATACTGCTAAAAAAATATGGACTATAATTCAAACTCTGATCGTCTTTCAACTAGGTTAATTTCAATGGTTTCCTAACTTCCTGTCTCCCAATTCTCCAATATTCCACCGATGGTACTGCTGACACTGTGCTGTCCAATTCATTACCGACAAACTACTATGAACTGTTCAACAAATTAAAATTAAATACAAATGAAAAATCCAGTTTCTCCATCATACCAGCCACATTTCAAAAGCTCAGTAACATCTGTCACTACTGGTTACAATATTAAACATTTTCATTATCATCAGTACTTTTATTGGAGAGGGCCAGGGTTTAGCTCAGTGGTGCCACACCTGCCTAGCAAGCACAAGGTCTTGAGTTTGATTTCTAGTAACAAAAATAAATAAATAAATAATAAAAACTACCTCTATTGGATACTGCTGCTTAATCTGGCAAATGGGTTTTTGACTTTTCATAAATTATGAAACATCCAGGATATATTTCAAACTCTTCAAAATTTCATTCATAGTCAAATTTGAGTAATCTTACAAGCACAATGAACCATAATTTCGATGAACATTTCCAGTCATATTGCAGGAAAAAATTGTTTATTAGTAACAACAGAAGAAAATAGCAGAACTTATGGATATAAATGCAGGTTGGAGAGATGTGTTAGTGGAAGTTTATGACAGTTAAGTTTCCCTTCATATGGCTCTATTTTTGTTGTTGTTGCTGTTTTCAGTGAAATACATGGAAATGATTAGAGGAGGTTGAAAATTTGAGGTGACAGGTAGTCTTTTACATGCTTGCCTCATTAAGATATGTGGAAGTTAAATTTAAGTAAACAGCATGTGACTTTTTGACAAACGTCCAACTAATGTTGGGCGTGTTAGCAGAGGCTAAATTATAGGCGTGCAGCACAGTGATGTGCTTGGTGCACCATGGAACTCAAAGGCTAAGAAGGAAAAGCAGGACCTGAAGTACTTAGTGAGAGTAATTTGATAAGATCAGTGACTTTCGGCCATCAGGATGGTCAAAAGGTAGTTGTGGTTCGGTATGAGAGGGTATTAATTAGAAAGATAGGAGGTGGTGGTAAAAGAAGAAGATATTAGAATTGGAAGTGATAGAGGGCTTTCATTTATTTCTAGTGATATGACCGAGAGTAGATTATCATCCCGGAAGTAGCTACAGACCTAGGATGGTGGGCAAAAATGGAAATGATAGAAACATATGTCTACAATTCTGAAAGGATTAATTTTCATGGATATCAGTCAGGATTATCAAACATCACAAAGAAGCATAAATAGAATGACAGTGAGCAACAAGTAGATTGAGAGATTTTTCTGGTTAATCCAATAATTACATTTCCTTTTCAAAACATTTCAACTTATGAAACAGTAATCTAGGCCGGGGATTTAGCTCAGCGGTTCGGTGGCCTGCCTTGCAAGCACAAGCACCCGAGTTCAATCCCCGGTACCAAAAAAAATAAAATAAAAAAATAAAGGAAAGAAACAGTAATCTAGTTAGAAATAGACGACTAAGTCATAAAAAATCTAGGAATTATAGAACTGCATTATGTAGGAATAAATTCATGACCTAAACTGCTATTTTGCTCTCCTATCCATTTTCCCCTCTGCATGCAGCAACGACATACCTTAGAGAGACAACTGGATTAGGCGACTGGAAAAGGCATGAACACTAATGTACATGGACAGTATCTCACTGACTTAGGTCAGGTACATATGGAGAGATAATCTAAGGTAAGAATCAGATTAATTTTCAAGAAGAAAGTTCTGTGAAATAGGACATGGTTTGCTTGCAATCAGAAATCTAGTGGAGTCCTGAAATATGAATGCTTACGGAACTGAAAAAGTGCACTGCTACTCTAAACAGCAGCAGACAGCACTCTTTCACAGCCTTGAACAAAGCTCTTCTTTTAAGACTTCTCAGCAGTAAAGCCAGATCTATAGCAAGAATCAGATCCGCCTGCTGGCTCCCTTACTACCCAAACTTGTTTTAGATGATGCTAAGGTAACTGTCATTACAAATCAAAAAGTCATACAGGCAGGGGAAAAAAGGTCAGTAAATAAAGAAAATTTAAGAAGGGGCTTAAATAGGAGCTCTGAGCAGAGTTTTGTCACATAGAGGTACCAGAAAATCTCTACTCCAATTTCAACTTAAGCGGAGACTACAGAGAATACTGAACAGGGAACACAGATATGAATAGACAAAAGAGTGACTTTCCAAAAGGAAGACCTTATTGCCTTGGAAGTTTCAATAATTAATGTGCTACATGGCAGGCTTTAACTGCTGTGGATTTCTCATTTTTTTCCA